ATAAATTTACACTTTAGACAAAGTACTATGTAAAAAAATGTAAGAAACATGGTCAAATAAAACCTTAATTTAGCTGTTAATAACAACTAATAGATGATATTCTATATATAATGATTAACAATGGTTATTATTATTTATAATTTAAATGTCCTTATTCATCCAATTAAAGAAAATATGTATTAATTATTTCTTAATAATTATCCATCAAAAAAAATATTTCTTAATAACTCAATCAAATATGGCTTAAATTTTTGAAAATATCATTCATATTAATTTTCAGTTATATTAATAGATTAAAAAAGTAAAAAAGAAACTAATAACCTAAATAGTTCAGTAGTAATTTTTTTTTAACAAAAGTAGAGATTTTGAGTTCAAAATCTATACCGTGTAAATGAGATGGATTAAGAGATAAGAGAGTTAGCTCCAATTATGCAATTTAAAATAAAAAAAATTAAAAAGAATAATTTAATGTGAAATTAATATTAATAAAATGTGACAATAAGATTACCTTGATAATAATAATTAAGAAAAGAAATAAAAAAAAAAAAAAAACTAAGACTTATTTTGTGCGTTGAAAATGAAAGAATATTGAAATTAATTATTAGTTAGTATACACTTGTTAAATCGATAGATTTTGAATTTTTTTTCCCTTGTTTTGTGAGACCCACAAACACAATTCATTAAAAAAAACCTATTGCACTTAATGGTAAAGGATGCCACTGTTAAGTGGGAGTTATGAACGGTGTTAGGGTGGTCTTAGTGGAGGGAGTTAAATGTAATAGAAAGTTAAAATAGAGGGGGGACTATGGTAAGGTTTGGAAAAGTAGAGGGAGGATTTTGAATGATTTGTAAGTACAGGGAGTACAATGAATGAAAATAGAAAGTAGAGGGAATACGGTTGGCTTTAACCCTATATTTTTCAATCTAGCCCAAAAGATAATGGGCCCAGCTCAAAATCCTCAACACAACATCCAGCAAGTGAATCCAAAATCAATTGTGGATCTCAATCCAATTACGCCCCTTTTCTATTTCCCAAGAAGATGATAGGCCCAAAACAAACAAATTGATATGCATCTCAAAGGACAACAAAGCAGAAGCAAAGCGACATCGGGAACGTCTGTGAATTGTGTCATCAAATCCTAACTGGCGGCGAAAGTCGCCGAAAATGGAGACCGAGGCGCCTCCCGTCGCCACCACCTCCGCAGCTGCCTCCTCTCAGGAGAGACGATACCGCTCAATCTTTGACCTTCCAGACGACTTCTTCGACTCATGTCGCTTACTCTCTCCATCTCTCCTGACTCCAGTGTTCGAGTGTCTCTCGATTTCCGAGAAATCTGCTCCTGAAAACATAGACGAGATAGGCAAAGAGGAAGAAAAAGCTTCCAGCCATGGCATTTCTTTGACCAGATGGACTTGCAACACCTGCAAGGCTGATTTCGATTCTCTCCAGGATCAGCGCTCCCACTTCAAGTCCGATATTCATCGTTTCAATGTAAGTTTCTCATTTTTTTCTGCTATCTTTTTATTTTTTCTTGTCCAATAGAGATTCCTTTTATCATAACATGTCATGGAATCGATAATAGAGTTCAAGTGTAATCATTAAGAAAATTGGAGCAATTTTGAATCTTAAACCTTATGGTTTTGAGCTTATATTAAATTGAAAAGTGATTATTTTCTGCATTGTTTTTTATCATATCCCTTGTCAATTTGCACAATTTCTGTATATAGGGTGTGTATTTTAATTGCTTGTGTTTGATTACAGGTAAAGTTGAGCATTGCTGGAAAGGCTGTTGTGAAGGAGGAAGATTTTGATGAGCTGACTTCAGATTCTTTCAAAGACTATGAGGTTTCAAGCATTTCAGGATCAGAAGATGAACTTGACAAGGGAGCAAGTTCTCGAAATGAGGCACAAAGTAGAACTATTGAAAATATTAGGAAGAAGTTGTTTATCCATCTTCAAACAGGAGAAAGGGTTTCAGTATGGAAGTCTCTAGTTTTGAGTGAATCGGAAAATGTTTCTTATGAGAATGAAAAGGAGGCTTCGGCCATTGGTGGCAGGTGCTTGAGCGAATGCGAAGTGATTGAGAGATTGAGAACCTCAGTTCAGGAGACCAGGGATGGTAAGCATTTAAGGGCTGTATTGCTTGCTAGTGGAGGGCACTTTGCTGGATGTGTCTTTGATGGTAATTCAGTCGTGGCTCACAAAACATTTCATAGGTCTGTATAGTCATGTCTAAAGCCCTGAGCATTACTGCTGTTGCTATTTTTTTTTTCTTTATTTGTGGTAGTATCTCTTTTCCTTGTGGAATATTAGATGGTTGATCAAAATCATTGTTTATGCACTCTTGGGTGTATTAACTCTTATTGTTGTGATGTAGATATGTTGTAAGGGCCAAGGCTGGTAAGAAACAGTCATCCAAGGATGCAAGTGGCAAGGCTGCACATTCTGCAGGAGCTTCACTCCGCCGGTATAATGAACTTGCATTAAAGAAGGTATTGTGTGCTTGCATAAATGTTAGAAGCTTCTCTTTTTCTCCAACTTTTGTGCCTTTCTATTGATTTAGTTGTATAACACATAATTGGATCCTTATTCTTTATAGCTTGCTTCTGAGTTTGGTTGCTTCTTCCATTATAAATTTCTCAGGAAATTCAGGAGCTACTTTCTGCTTGGAAGCCTTATTTTGATGCTGCTTCTTGTGTTTTCATTTATGCTCCTTCAAACAATCGTCAAATGCTCTTTAATGGTGATAAACCATATTTCAGTAACCAGTATTGTGCTATTCGAAATGTTCCATTGTCTGTTCGTAGACCAACATTCAAAGAGGCTCGACGCATATATAACCAGTTGACACAAGTGGCTTATGAAGTGGAGGAAGAAAACCCAACATGCAGCAAAGAGGATGTATTCTTAAGTGGAAGCAACTCTAGTAATGATTGTCCAGGCACTACTAAAGAGGAGTTGGGCCACAACTTAACTCATGTTGAAACTAATGAAGGACCTTCAAATTATACAAACTATGATAAAATTTCAAGTGAGAGTGAGAGTGAGACAGAAGGTGTTTGTATTACAACTCCTTTGCATGAAGCAGCACAGTCTGGTAATGTTACAAAAGTTTTGGAACTCCTGGAGCAGGGTTTGGATCCCTGTATTAAAGATGAGAGAGGGCAGACTCCATACATGCTGGCAAGTGAGAAGGAAGTCAGGAATTCTTTTAGACGATTCATGGCATCAAACCTTGATAAGTGGGACTGGCATGCTGCTAAAGTACCTAGTGCATTGACTAAAGAAATGGAGGAATCACAAGCTGCTAAGCAGGTTATTTTGCTTTCTCCATACTAATTCTTTTCCAATGTAATAACTACTAATAGAAAGAGGAAATTACTAATTAGGTTATTTTCTGGATCAATTAGGCTTGTCATTTCTTGGTATGGGATCTGTATGTGCTCTTGTTTTGAGTATCACTACTCAAAACCTCTCCAGGGCCTTTGAAGTCTTTAGGAACATGTTTTCTTTTAACTAAGTTTCTTGCAGTATCTTTCTTCATTTCTGGGCAAATTTCCATGAATATCTTGATCACTATTTTTAATGATTAAGAATTATGTTATTCAACTTCTTACCCCCTAGGACTTTGTCCGTATGTGGGTCTTAGGCAGAGAAAGATGCCAAGAAAAAGGCAAGAGCAAAAGAGCTGAAGAAATTGCGAAGAGCCAAGGAAAAGAAAGCTCAGGTATATGTTCCTTGTATGCACCCTAATATCATATGTAATTAGATACTAAGGGAGATCTCTTAGGCTCTTGACATTTACCTTATTCATTTCTCTCTAGTTTCAAATACAAATATTTAAGAAGGCATGTCAAATTATGAGATTAAATCTTGTTTTTCATCTCTTGTTGCATTTGTATTTGTTACAGAAAAAACTCCCTGGTGGGCATGCTTGTAATGATTAAAAGAATTATTTGAATGGAATGGTCATTTGAATTCCCTATGTGCTTACTTAGGAATTGGCTTATGTTAAATGTGCTTATCTTTTATTGCACATAAATAAAAGGCCAATGGCAAGTAGACTGGGAGTTGATGCTCGTTAACTAGCTTTTTGGCCATAATCTTTACTGTTATTTGTTTTAGATTGAAACTTGTTTCTGCGTATGTTCTTTCAACATCTGTGCTGTCTAAATATGCAGGCTCAGGCTGTACAGTCAGAAAATGCTGTGCCAGTTGCAGAGAACAAAGCACCCATTACTTCAGTCCTCAAAGCACAATCTTCAACCATGGGTAGATCACAGATCTCGAAAGAGGTTAGCTTAAACTTTTGATGTCGCATATGGTTTAGGAATCATCAGCAATATTTTTATTTAAATCTGTTTGTTTTCTTATTCTTTTCTCTGCTCTTGATTGCCTTTCTGTTTCATTCCTTTGTCTTTTCAAATTACCTTCTATAATTATGGGATTGTAATGAGAAGATTGATAAATATTTTTTTCCTGTTATTCTCAACTAGGAGGAATTGAAGAGAACACAGGCTGCTGAGAGAGAAAAGAGAGCAGCTGCTGCTGAGAGCAGGATAGCTGCTGTGGCTGCACAAAACACTCAAGGCAGTAGCCCAACTGTTACGCCAACCACTTCACAATCCAGAACTGGGATAGCAAGTGATATCAACTGCTCCTGTTGTAATTCATCATTGGCAGGAAAAGTTCCCTTTCACAGGTATAACTACAAATACTGCAGCACATCATGCATGCATGTACACCGAGAGATCCTTGAGGATGGATAACATAAACTGTGTGCTATCTTTCTTCTTTATATTAAGTAATTTATATATTCATCAATAATATTTGCATATGTTATTATTCCATGTCCATCTATCTGCATTGCCAGATGTCTAAATCTTGTTAAGCTTTTCCTTAGAAAAATATTCTTCCCAAATCTCAATATTTATCATCTGCTACAGAAGCAAATTGTATTTGTATCAACTTTTTGCTCTCTTTATTTGATTTTTTTTTTTAACAGCTTTTTATTTGATTGGGTAGTGTGTAGGACTCTGTTGAATCCTTTTTTTTACCCCCCCAATGTTTATGATCCATTTACATGTATGACCGAATTCATAGAAAAATGAAAGAATGAAATTGAGGAACTCCTGGTCCATAATGAAATACAAGAGTTGCCATTGGTGTTGCTCCAACAATTCCTAAAACCAAAACAAACATAAGAAACAGAATAAATGAAAAAATGAGTAAGATTTTACGTAAATAATGTGTGTTAAAGTTAAATTTTTCCGGAACCGAAGAAATGAGGTAATGATTAGTGATCAGTGAAACACCAACTGCAACATCGGGCATTTACCAGTGGAAATCCATTTACATTGTCGAAAGCCAATCGGGACGACCCAAATTGAAGGTGTGATCGGAATACAGATGGTCTGAAATGTGGCTAACGAAGCAAAATTTCTGATCGACAGTTCTAATGCATTAAACGTCTCCTTCCCCCATTCTGTAACAGGTGCGATTGTGAGAGGGAACAATGTACAAGATTAAACAATGAAGAACAACGGAGCTGAAGATTGAAAAAAAATTAAATTGAAGGGGAAAAGTGGGGAGGAAGGGAAATGGAATGATGTTATTTCTAAAGAATTGGCAGTGGATTCTTTGCGCAATCCATGTCTAGCGTCGAGATGACATGCATAGACTCCCAAGAGTACATAATTTATGCTATCATTTTCCTTTTGAGCTTCATGCCTTCCTAAGTCTTTACACATTCGTATGTATGCAGTGTTTTCTCAGCCCAAGGAAATGAAAATATAAAAATATTAGGAAAAAATAGATATATTGGACAAATATAACATTTGGACAAGAAGATATTAAGTTAATTAGTTAAAGATAAATCTCAAAAATTTAAAAGTTGTGGTTATGGGTTTTATTTTCACAAACATTGTGTTTTAAAATAATTTTATACTTAATTATTGTCATTTGTTTTTATTGTATTTTACATTAAAAAATTAGCTTTTTTTAAAATAAAATAAAAAAACGAATTCTTGACTAAAGATAAGGGAGTTTTTTATATAGTAGTAAAAATAAATTTTTATTGTTCTTAGGAGATTGCAAATTAAGAAATTGTATTTTTATATTAAAAATTTTAAATTTAAATTTTAAAACAGGTGTGAAAATATTTAAAAAAATTATTTTTTATTATATTTCATATCATCTCATATGTATATAATTTTTTTATTAAAATTACATTTTACCAAAATATTAAAAACAAAAAAATCTTGAACGATTCGTCTTACACAATAACATGAATTTGAGTTAAGACTGTTCATTTTTTATGAATGAGATGTTTTAATACCACGAAATCCATTTACTCACCCCCAATTAATATACATGTAAATAATTTCAAATTGTTAAAAAAAAAAAAAAATCTCATTCATTCGTTTTGCTTTATGCAGTCCCAATTTCGAATTGCGTTGGACATTCTGCTTGTACCTTGCTTTGTGGGTCCGGGGGAGTTAGCAGCGTACAACCGACGCTGCGCAACCGAGTGTAAAACAAAACGCATCGTCCAGACGAATCTCTCAAATTTGTTTACCAACTCTCGAAGAGCGGCTGAAGCTGAATCATGGTGAGTCTCTCAGCGTAATTTTGTCGAACACATGAGCTTCGCTCATCAAGAAAAGAAACTCATGGTTTTTAATCCTTGATTTTGCAGTCAGTTACGCTGCACACAAATCTTGGCGACATCAAGTGCGAGATATTCTGCGACGAAGTCGCCAAAACAGCAGAGGTCAGACCTCGCAAAGCATTTCTGATTAATATGATATTTTTCTCTTTTGAAATGATTGAAGTTTGTTTTTCATGAAAGCAGCAACCTGCACGCAGTATCGTAGTAACTGAAATTATGGAAAACAAGAAACGTCTTCTTAGTTTTCTTTAGGGGATTTGCCACTAGCAATTCTAGCCCTAGAAGCAATATTGGAGAAGGTTAAATTAGCCCCATAAGAGGAACTCTGGAAACAAAATCT